GCCTATAGGAAAAAATAACATGACTTACCGGTACCAGTACTAAAAACGTTACACACCAAGTCTAGAAGTAGGTCTACATTATAAACAAAAGTCGGAAATTAAAACGTTAAACTTATGTTATGACATCCTAAAATGTCTGACTCAAACCGAAGCTGGAGACGGTACTGTGCGTCTTGGTCGCTAGGATGGTTTATGCCTGAGTGACCCTTGGGAGATGGGTTTTGTTATTCATAACACAGGCCCCCAAAGTGCACGATGAAAGAAGTTATTCAGCAATTGTGAAGCACATTGAATACATAAGTCAATAATCGCTTGCTGATGACACGATGACATGCTGATTTCATTTTGATTTTAAATCGCATCAGTCTTCTATTCATACCTCGTCCACAAAGATTCAACCAGGGAATTCTTTGCACGTAGCATCGATTTAGTAGTGTGGCGCATTGTTTTTCACGTTACTGTTTATAAAACCTTAGTTTTAAAAAAAATGAGTCTTAATTGTACTCTTACTGTGTAGGTTTACGTATATAATCGTTCATTATCCGAGTTGAGCTGCTAATCAAAGATATATTTACTCGTGACTGAGGTCGCTCCTCGTAAAATTAAAAAAATATCTATCAATAAAGTAAGAGCATCAATCATCAATTTTCATTGAGATAAAGTATTAAATGTAATTAGCTAGGGAAATATGATCTTTTTTTCTTTTTAATTTTCAATTGACAGCTTCTCCGAATAATCATATTGATGTTACACGTAACGCGTTGAGGTGTTACGCACGAGGTTTCCTCTCAGAATCAAAGAGCCCCAGTTGCCCAAATATTTCACGCAAAATCAGGTTTGATGCTTCACATTTTGCTCAATTTCAATGTTTGAAAATTAAACTATTTTTTGCTCAATACTTTTATTGATGATCGGCTGGCCATAACAAGAGGAGGTTTTCGAGGCAGGATTTTTAAATACTTTCACGGGTGACACAAAATAGACGCATGTGGGCGGGGGGTCGCACTTAGCCAAGTAAAGCATAAAGCAGAGGGCTCGGATTCGAAACGGCAAACACTGCACAATACAAGAAGGTATAACACCATCTCCTCGCACAATATACAACGTTGCATTTCTAAAATGCAAATATGGTTTATAGCACATTATATATAGTGTGTAATTCGAGACCAGGAATACTGTCAAAAAGCATTTTCTCGCCAAACAAAAGAAAAATCAAACAATTTAATATACCTTTTATGCATAATTTATTAGAAAGTTCAGTGTAGAAACATGGTTGACCAAAGAAAGTTACCCACTACTTCATATTATCTACTTGTATGTATCTGGTCTCCATTTAAATCTACATCATTCCACCTTGCAGAATGTTTCTTAAAGTCATCTACAAGGTGATTTCAGGCACGGAACCAGTAGCCCCTCCCCGTTTTGCCACTATATTTTAAAATTTTTCTGAACATGTTTTGTGCACCCGTTTGAAAAATTCTGGATCCGCCCCTGTATTTACAGCACATCAGTTTATTTACTGATTACGCATTTACTGATTTGATAGGTCAAATCAAAAGTAGACCTGCTTGTCTATAATCATCTAACTGATTAGAACTAATTAAAATATAATGAAATACATACAAGGTAACAGATAGAATGAAACATTAATAATACAAGATATATATATTAGCTACCAAGGAAAAGGAAGATAAGTTTGTAATCCACCATTTATACTAAATATTTTTACAGCCCAACACAAACTAATATAAAATATATAAGAGATTAAATTTTGTTAATAAAAGATTTTATTTCAAAAATGAATATGTACCATGTGATTTGTAATTCCAAATCAAACTACAATAAAATATATCATTTTTTGATAAAAAAAAAAAAAAGTTTTATGTAGCATACCTAAGGTGAAAGAATATACATTTATAAATGGAGTAACTATGTATAGTAGGAGTACAAAAATAAAAATAGATTATAATGCCAATAAAACAAATACATGACACAATAATCACAATCCATAAACACAAAAATCAAACAATTAGTTCAGTGGAAATACTTTCCTTTGTTCTATTTCTACAAAACACTAATGTGAACCATATCCCATACCCAATAACATGAACTGTATCCCACACAATATCATAACGCATATCACACACAATAATGTGAACATTCCATTCTCAACATGAATGTTTTCCATGCACAGCAAAAAACATAAGGAACGATAAGGAATTTACCTGAATCATATAGTTTTATAAAGTCAGTACAGTAGTTAGAAAACATAAGACACAGTCATGTCAAAGGTTATATTCACATACTATCCTTTTTACAACATAAATTTAGAACAGGTTTTGGGCTTTTTTACTGTGTTGAAATTACTTGTCTAATACAATGACTGTGTTGAAATTACTTGTCTAATACAATGACGTCATGCAGTTCCTGATCCCTTATTATTTTTGCATCATGCGTTGACAAAAGATTCAGAAACTTTCAGCCTAACTATCCTGAAATTACATCAAATTATCATTTATGAAAAATCACATATATTGTATCACAATCAAATATAGAAAACCATTATTTATACAAAGATATTCCAAAATTTATAGAAAATGTACACACATTGTTTCAATTACTAGGCTTAAAGAAAGACAAGAATCAAATACCATGTGCAAATTTGTGTGGGAAACCTATCTTAAAGCTAAATTACATAAAGAATATATTTATATAATTCTAAATAGGACTACCAAGGTATAAACTGTACCACATTTAATTTCGAATATTCCTCTCATAATAATTATGAATATTAATAAAAATATATATTATAGGAGATCCATGCATTTGATTATGTGCAAACCTTTTGACCAACTAAATCCTATTTCTAACCACATGCATACTTTATCTATACACAATATATCACATTCATTAGCACTCAAAAAACATCATGATTCTTCTGATATCATTTTAAAAAGTTAATGTTTCATTAACAATTTCAACATTAGAACCTGTTTTTATATGATTTTCTAAAAATAAAACATTTTTGAAACATCAAAGAATGTAATTTGGTCACTTTTCCTTCAAAATAATTAACCAATGTGTGCGATAAATATAAGTTGTTTTTTTTGTCAGGTTCGAGTTGAAAGACTCTTTTCCTGTGATACTGTACTAAGAAATAATGCCTTATATAAAAGTAGTAGGTGTTTGAAACACACCCGCATCTACTAAATCACAACCAGTACAAACCATAAAAAACAATCCCCTTTCACTAGAAACACCAATATGGTACACATATGTGAAAGTGTGGGTGTATTTGGATGTGTATGTGGGTGTGGCTGGTGTGTTTATGTGAGTATTCGTTTTTGTATGTGGGTGTATTTGCTCATATATGTGCAAGTGTGTAGGTCCTAGTTTTATCTTACACCTCTTGTGGAATTGCCTGACTTTGTCGGACTTTCTTTGCCTTCTCCAAGGCAGCTGTATGCAGCGCTTCTTTTGCAAGGAAATTCTCTCTCTTGATCTGGTTGCTTACGAAGCCTGGGATGTCTGGTATCAGCCAATCAAGGAACAGCTTGAACGCAAAGATAACGTGCTGGGAAGGTGTAAAAAAAATGTGTGATTAACAGCCAATGTGCCTATCTGAGGTGAGACTGCAAACAATAGATTGGAAGGCAGACACACTATACAAGGGCAGGGGGAGGAGTGCATATATATCTATCATATATTTTTGAATTTTGACAGTAAAAATTAGGGAAACACTATTATATTATTCTGTAGTCACTGGATCAGATTAATCGTTAATTATGCAGTGCTGTGATAAATCTACTTTCACAATTGTGAGCAATGCATACTGAACTACCTCTGGATCCAATATATTAGACTACTATACTATATAACAGAAAAATCAGTGCATTGGATAATAGGGTACTAATTATTTCAGTTTAAAATTAATCCTAAACGTATTTTCATCCACAATAATAAACCAGTGTAAATGTTGACTACCATCATGCCATAATATTATGCATATTCAAAAATTCCTATACATGGTTTTGTGGGGTGAAAAAATGCCAAGTTGTATTAATGACTAAATGTAGGGCATTATTCTAGTGTTCTAAAAACCTACTATCAAACCTATCTGTTATATATAATATAATGTTCATAATAATTGATGTAATAAACTTACCTCAAAAACTAAAACAAACACAAGCCTCATGGCGAATACCTCCCAGTAGTCTTGTGTGAAGCAGTAGGTGGAGGGACTACCATCAGTCTTAACTTTACAATTATATTCTCCTTCAATCTCAGTTCCATTCCTGATATAAAAACCTTTGAAGCTGAATAGGACAAATAATTCAATCCATTAATGAGAGAAATTTTAGTTTCTTTTATTTCAATTCAGTGATTCTAAATAAAGCTAACCCTATCTTCCTAGTATTATGAAGATCATAGAAATTATGGTTTGTTTTTTTTTGTGAATTAATATAAAGTCAGATCAGATGATAGTATTATATATTTACTTAACATTTAAGTTCATATATATTATTAATTTTATATCTGAAATATTTGAATAAATAGAATAACTCACTGAGTGCAGTGAAGTAAGAAACTTACAAGCATTTGTCAGTACTGGCAGCTTCAGCCTCATCGTCAGGTGCCTGATCGGCCTTGAAATCAGAAACGTTAAATTCTGACAGAGAGAAGTCGATGTACCCCTTCAGAGAGCCAGGATCTGTCCTGTAACGATACACTTCCCTAGGAATAAACTCAGATGTGAATGCAATGATGCAAGCCTGCAAAATAAACAACAAAAAATGTAATTGATCGAGTAATTAGAAGCTAAGAATTGAGACAATATATACAGTAATTAATTGGGAATATAAAAATTGAGAAAATATATACAGTAATTATTGATTATTAAGAATTTGGACAAAATAAACAATATAAAAAATACATTAAAAAGAGAACACAGCCATATAAAAAAAGAAAACAAAGAAAAACAGTGTACCATTCAATGATTATATAAATGTATATACACAAAAAAATGCCCATACACTCAGATTTATGTTCCATTGTTGCTACGGTCCCACAAAATGACAGCCATTACAGAAATATGATATACTGTACCAGTTTTTCAGTGCATCATGACAAAAAAGCCTCTATGCACTCGACATTACACAGGTCGTTGGACCTACTTTTCTAAATGGCAAATACCCTCACAATAATTATAGGAATTATGTATACATATTTAGGTCAAAAACATATCAGACAACTTACATTTGACAGGACTGAGAAGTTACCAACTGCAAGTAGGATACTGTACCATGCACCTGAATAGTTGATAACAAAATAAACAAAATTAATATCGGCCCAGGTTTGTAAAGGTGTGTGTAGTTTATTGTTATATTATTGACAACCAAGACTTGACAATGAGTGCTATGAAGATATAATAAAAACAACTACAGTAGATCTCTGCAAAGGCAAGTCCTAAGTTGCTAATGGTCAATACAATTTTGAGTTCAGTTATAAGAAAATTAAGGAGGGCCTAAGCAAACTGCTTGCACATACCAGTTAATTTCAGCATTGTTGTATAATAAAAATTACAATTATTTGTTGCAACAAAATATAACAATAATAATAATAATTTTATCTGTAACAATTTATCGTGACAATGATCCTATTTATTAGTGCTGGAATATTCTTTTTTGTTCAACCTGTTGTCATTTTGTTATACATTATTTTAAATAAATGGAATACATATCGTTTGGTGTCTTACCAATGTCTTGTGCACGGGCAGCATACGGTCTTCGCAACTGCGAGATAAACTTAAATGCGTCCAGACGTATTTCCAGTAGATTGTTAACAAGGGCAAAAAATGGAGCAAGGGGGAATGCAGCCACAAATATCGTGATCCAACCAAACTGAATTGCTAAAGGTGAAAACAATATATTATATTAATAATAGATTTCAGCACTAAATTTTCAAAAAGAGGCAAAGGGGGAAAACTATTATTGGCATAAAAAGAGTAGGGAAAGAGGTTTCCATTTACCCAACTTTGTAGGCATAGTATAAATTGGTACACAATCATTGTATTGTTTTATTTTTAGTCAATAGATTGCTACTGCAATTATGACTCGAGTATAATTTTTTAAGCTACCTGATGCAAGGATTGCTAAATGGAATTTGTGTATTATTCCTTCATCATTTTTTCCAAGTTGGGAGGGGACAATTCACAATATTTTACCAGGTTTTATGATGAAAAAAAAAAACCATATCATTGTGCATGAACTAAATAAAAAAACAACCACCTACCCATTTCTAGATATTCTTTGAAGAGGCCACGAGGACCAAGTTCTCCAAGATCAAAATCTTTTTCCCATTGTTCGTACACGTTGCCTTCCTCTTCCTGTTTGCGAGCAGATCTTCCACGCATCCAGTTCAAAATCAAGCTGAGGGAAAGAATATCATAATAAAAATGTATGCATAGTCAGTGTTTGATATACAAGATTGATAACCTATTCATTCCAAAGAACTTATTTTTAATGGGGTCCCAGTATTAATATTTTATATACAGTACCAAAATAACAGGATAGAAATGTTTTCATGCTAAACTACATTTTCATAAACTTGTTTGTATGCATTATTTTAAGCATCATAGAAGTGAAATTTTATGTATGCCATTTGTTGCATTCATAACATAAAGTTAATCTCATTCGAAAGGTCAGGACTTCATAGCGATAAGCGATTATCAGGAGATGATAGATTTCAAGGGCATTGTTAAAATCAGACAATTCAGGTATAGTGTTAGGTAGCTGGAAGCATTATAGCACAACTGAAAGACTTCAGTTTTCCAATCAAAAGGTAGCGAGCATGCAATCCTGTTATTTGATGCAAACAATTTGTAATATTTCGAAAAACTGTGGGATGTGAAGATCCTTTAGAAAGAATCAAGAGTAGTCAATGGAAAAGTAAAGATAATAATATTTACGGAACAAATATTTCCAAGGCATTGCTGTAGACTTGCTTTCCACACATTACCACTGCAACGTTAATAAACAGCTCTTGTAGACATCCAGCTGCATCACACTATATAAATCAAAATGAAAATTTAATTACATCAAATTTATATTTTATCACAGTAACTTCAATATGGAGATACTCCTCCACTGGTGGTAATTAAAAATAATACATATTAGAAGTTGGATGGAAACATATATCTTTTTTCAAATATTTATTATATTTTATTCTTATAAAATATAGTAAATGGTTAAAACTGGAATTTATGCCATGTGCTGTACTCGATTATAACAGATTGTGGTGTTATTTAATATTAAAATGAAAAATTTATGAAACTAATTATATCTACAAATATGGATAATGATCATACTTCTTCTTGTCTCATTCCAAACAACGTGCCAGGATTGTTTGGTGCTCCAGGTAATCTAGGGGATAAAAATATGGAATGTGTTAGATTTGACCCTTGGGATGTAACAAAAATTATTTTAAGTGTATTTTATTATTTCTACAAGAATGCCCCATCCACTCTTTATAATAAAGTGAAACATTTCTTACATGGAATCGCCTAATTCTATATTAAACATACCTTCCTTTTAAAAATGCAATATAGAAACTGGATGAGTAGTAATTTGCAAATCCAAATAGATACATTTTAAATGTGTAACTATCTTCATAGGATGTTTCAGTACGATGCAATTCTGTATAAAAAAAAAGGTAATATTACAACTATATTATTAGAAAAACAAGCCCTATGTGTTTCACATTATTACCACAATCAATAAATAGCCTAGCAGAGAACCTACTGGACACTTGCAAGGTAGCCCCACTTACACTCTTGGGTCAACAGACTCAAGACATAAACAATTGGTTAGCATCCCAATACATAAATTTGTCAGATTCAAATGTTCATTGCTTGAATGCTATTCTGGACTAAATTCCATTCACGTTCAACATGTATATTCATTATAATACAACAGAAGCTTTACATACTATTCTATTATTCTTTCTATACAACCCATTTACCCTGCTTCATGTGATTTTATGTACATGCTCAGATTTGGATAAAGTAGAAACAAGGACAGAAATGACGACAGGAAAAGAAATAAAAGTAGCTGGGCAGAAATTTTATAGACACAGTAAAGTGTGGGCAAAATAAACGATATAAACCAGAAATCAAACCACTGTTACATTACTTACCAAGATCTGTTAACCATGTTGCAATCTTCTCGTACAACTGTAGATGAAATAAATTAAATAATTGAAAAATACCATTATATTTATACAAAAAATTATATTTAAAACTACAGTATTTAGAAATCAGGGCAAAATATTATTGTTTTTCATTAATGTGGCCATTATTGTATATTGTTATTCAACTAAGTCTTAGACTTTGAATGCTGGATGAGGTTAAAACTTAATATACTAATATAATAAAACTTTAAATACTAATAATTATAATAAAATGTTCAATGGTAACATGAGTCAATTTCACAATTCCTAATTGTGGATTATTACTTGGATAGTGTGGCATCAATGCAAGACAAAAAATTCAAGTGGATACTTACAAACTGAAGTAAAACGATGACGGTAACACTGATGCAGGAAGCCGTCAATGAGGTAATGAGGGATGCCTGAGAGGCAATCAAAGAATCTGATACTGCCGCTAAGGCAGCTCGTACTGCAATACGATAAATGATCACGCCAAGAACCGCGGCAAATACCAAGGAAATCTATGCAACCATCAAAACATACCAAAGTTAATTTCTATACAGCATTTCTAACTAAGTCATTTTAAACTAGTGAATTTTGATTTTGTTTTAAATTTATTTATTATTTTCTTTAGAATAAAATGATAATTTACTATTTCTAGATAAAGTTAAGATTTTCATATTTTTCTGTGCATTTTATTGTAGTTGAATTATAAGGCGAGACTAAGCTCTGTCCATACCGTGACACAGTACATTTACACATGCGAGTTAAGCCAGACACTCACTGCACTGTGCAATAGTCGTACGACCCCCAACTCCGCTATCTGCGAGCGCTAGGCGACTAGACATCTCCTGATTGTCGGTGGCAGTCTGAACGATTCGTTGCGCGTGTGGTGTAGTGCTGCGTTCTACATAGAATCCCGTCGACCGTCGGGGAAAGTGAGTGCCAGGCTTAAGATGTTACATCATTCTGTCCACCCTACCAATTTTTGGTACCCCAATCACTTTTTTCTTTCTTAATACATTAACACTCTGCCCGCCAAACACGAAGATCTGTGTTTGGTAACGCAATGCTTGACTGCCAAACACGGAGATATCCGTGTTACAGGTTTTTTGATGGAATCCGATAGATGGGTTAATTAGCGACATGTACTAACAATTTGAACACTATATTCAGTCTGGACCGTAAGTATTTCACTATTTGTTTGTTTACATTAGCATAGAGCAGTATTGCTTTGCTTGCAGGAAATCGTGATTATCTCAGCTTCGTTGTGTGAAATTGCGTAAATCTCCAAAAGCAAGTCATTTTCAATTTACTGTTACGGGTCACACACTGTAATTTAGAATAAAGTGTTTGGTAACATTGCAAAGCTAAAATGTTTGTAGTTCTTGTAGCATTCACTACTCAACAAAATTTGGAAATGTGTTAAAATTTGCTAAAAAGTTTGGCGGTGGCTAATACTATTTTTTCAAACCCCCGGCGGTCAGAGTGTTAAAAACACACTACAAAAAGGCTGATATTTCAATTTTAGGTTTGTTTTATACATAATAATTATTATTCATATTTAAGAATCAATATTTTAAATTTAAGGTAAAAAAATACATAAATTCTAACCTGAAAAAGTTCCCGAGTTCTCAGATATAACATCAATCAATAAATAAGCAAATACTTCAGCAGTAAACTTACCTTACTTATTTCTGATATCCTAATGCGAGGTTTTTTGGATCAACATTTTATTTACATTAGAGTTTCAAATATGTATCTATACAACTAATTATTAACTGTCAGTCTGAATAATTATGATACTTTGAGAATTAAGCAAAATATTATTATGAATATAATTTAATCTTTACTTATTTATGGTTAATTATAATTATAAAATTTATCAGAGAGTTTAAAATATGTAAATATACAACTAACTATGAACTGTCAATCTGATTTTTATTTAGTTTACTGGCAACAGAAAAGAATTTCAATACTTCTAAATAGATCTTATCAAAATATTGTTACTACGTATATAATTTAATCTTTACCTTTTTATGGTTAATTATAATTATAAAATTTGTTACTATTAAGTATCGCTATTATTAACAGCAGTTGTAATATAACATCAACAAATCAACTTACAAAGAAGATAATAACAATTGCAGCGGCCACAAGTCGAGGGTATCTTGTCAGTAAGCCTGCATATGCCTCCTCTCTCTGTCACGTGTCCAAACACAATCACATTAATCATGATATCGCTCATGTAACTAATAGTTATTATTAAGGTTGACACAACTATGAAGTCAGTAGCACACAATGACAAGGCCAGACACTGGAGAAGAGGATGATGGGATTGCAATGGGGAGTGAAGTGGACAAAAAGTAGGACAGATTTTAATACTGTACCTTAGCAGCAAGCAAGCAAGAAAGCCTAAGAAACAGCATACAGTGCGAAAAATGTGTTAAGCACCACTTTTTATAACATTAGTCTAATATACAAACCTTGTTTTTTTTCATCCAGTTATCTTGTACAAGTAATGTTAAATTGGCAACCATTATTAAAAAGTTAAACACAAATATACTATTCACAAAATATAAGCCAAAGGAGCAAAATTAGTAAAATTTAATGCATCAACAATAATACTAATAAACTTAAATTTATATATAATTAGTTGACTAAATATGTAACAGCATTTTGGGAGTACTGTCTTTAATAACGGAAGCCATTTTTGATGATGTCTGAATGAATTGGAAATGTGGATGGTCAGCTCACCATGAATAAAATGGTTAAAACAGATGCCACTAGACGGGGAAACTTTTTGTAGAATGCCAAATAGGGTTCAGTCAGCTACAGAAATAAAAGTTTGAAGAGTTACATGATTTTAAACAATCTCATCCTTATTAAATCAATGACAACAATGTTATTTATAAAAATATTCAAATCACTAGTTTTGGAAATGTTATTTAATTAGAAGGATGAGATTATTTAAATTAAAAAGAAAATAAATTATTTTTATTTGGAATATTTGAATATTCTTTGCAAATGAGCGCCGAGAGCAGCTTAGAGAATCTGCAGCAAAATTGTTCATATGTTTTAAAGAAAATTCAAACTAGAATATGATGTACTGTATATTATACATATGATATATGATATATGTATGTATGATATTGTAGCAGAAGTGATTACTTAAAAATGCTGATGTGTATACAAATACATATTTGGTAGAATATGAATGAATATTTAAGGTATACAGTCACTAATAAAACTATGACAATTACGATGATGTTATGAAATATAATACTAAATTTAAATATGTGACATATACAATGTATATATATATATTACAAAATACAATGTAGAAGAGTTGAGGTGTTTAATGATGAACATCTAATATATATTATATTATAGAATATACAGTAATGCATTAATACTATTTATACATTATTCTCAATGGGTCATTATTGTGTAATGGTGTGATGAACTGGTATTTGTATAGTCTATTGGGATGAAGTTTGATTTACATAAAATAGTTAAGATCACATTTGCATGATTAGATCACAATGTAATATACATCAAAAACAAGAAATATACAAAAATCATAGCATAAGCATGTCTAAACAGCAGCTAATTGCATTCACTTCTAACATCTTTCATCCACTATTAACAAATACAACAAGTACAAATATAAGAATTTAATGAATAAATTAAAGCAGCCTTTTATATATTATATTTTCTGCTCTTGGGAGTTGAGCAGTAGGGTACTGCAGGGTATATTCAATTATAAACAACATTTATAAACACTCAATTCTTATAAGAAAAAAAACAGATTTCTTTTGTGACTACACAAAACAATTTAAACAGACAAGGCAAAGATTTAAAAAATAGAGTAAAACAAGCACAAATTGAAATTTATGCAATGCTAAGATTATTGAAGATAAACTGCTAACAAAACTATTAAAGTAAAGGCTTGCATATTAAAGTAAAAAGTTAATTAGTTACTCAAAAGAACCACGCAAGTGAGCAGCCCCACAAAACTCTTAGATCAAAGAAATCAGTCATCAAGATCTAAGAGGCCCCGCCACAAAAATCAGTTAAAGTGGCACTTACTAAATAAAATAGGTTATACTTCTTTAAGATCATTAATTCTTTTAATACATCATCTTTACTTATATTTATACATTTTATCTTTATTATAAACTACATTAGAAAAAATACTGAATTGCTTTCAAACTTAACCTAGTTCACATTATCATAAATATATCATATGTTATAGGTCATTCAATCATGTTTTTAAAACTTTTTGAATAATCATTGTTTTAGTTGATGATAATTTATTTTACCTGAGTAATTGGGTTGACCCTCTTGTCAGGAGCTGATGCTTCATACTCTGGCCGAGTGTTCTCCTAAAAACATTTTTTTTTAAATAGATGAAATTATATCTTAGAGAAAATATATGATAGATGGCGAAAATCATTCAGAACTACTGTTTTTGAGTTAGATATGCACCCACTAGAATACCTAGATATATAGTTAAAATGCATATAAAATTTCAGGAATTCGCATATTACAAACCTCTTGGTCCTCAAAACCAAACAGATCCCAGTCGTAATCAATCTCCGCCTGCTTCCGTTTCCACATCTCGCAGAACATGGTTGCTATGGAGGTAAGAGTACAATTGCACATTAGTAAAACAAGTCTTTAAACAAAACTAATGTAAAGTATATGAAAATATATATATAAATATGTAAATCAATACTTACACCACAGAGCCATGAAGCACGCATAGAAAACGGTTGAATTATTGTCAAATACATAGGTCAACTAAAATTAAATAAATAATTGAATCAATTACATCATCATCATCAATGCAACTGGTCGTTACTAAAATTTAAATGCATAGAACACGTACCAATGTCTCAGGAATCCTAGGATATACATGTATATCTACCCCCACAAACAACTCATATGATATAACGGCTTTAATCATTACTTCTGATATAACATACTTACATTTATTATTGCAAATAAATCATAATACACATATCAACATTGGGAGTGGATGATGCTGGTGATGGCATGGTACATGTATCCCTTTTTTGATGCAATTACCATTGTTTGTTTCTTTATCATTAATAAAATAGCTAAAATAACTCAATTCCACTGTGCATGTTGTTTTTGAAATCATTACATAGTTCTGTCCAGACTACCAAATTTTGTTTGACAAAAACATGTGACATGCCTAAATATGGTCATGATGACATCACATCATGACCATATATAGGCACATCATGACTATATATATATAGGCATACAATTTTTTTACACAAAAAAATTTGATAACCATGTCTCAATAATTAAGATGTTTGTTATTCCATACCTGAGCATATGTACAACTGTCTGACAGGTTAAAGTATGGGCATTTGTTATTACACAACGGGCACATCAATTTAATGCTATCACAGATCTCCCCACTGAAAAAAAAAAAAAAGATATATATCACGATAAATTTCTACAATCTACTAGAGACTAGATTGGTTAAGGTGTTGTAGTCGAAGTCAATGGTAGTCAATGTCAATAGTATTTGTCAACGTAACATAGCGTAGGTGTACTTTACTGCTAATGTAAATGCAATTTACAAAATGCAATCATGTAAAATAATTATTTACATATAATAACTATTTTCAGGATGTACACAAAATTTAGTATGTCATGTTAGGAAAGGCAACATTTCTATTAAATATTCATGGTCCAAATTCCTGTTGTAATATCAACGCAGTAACCGATACCAATGGGCTAATCAACTGTACCTGACATCATCCCCTCCCAGAGTGGCACAGCCATAGATGAAGACAACAATCCCTAGGATTGAAGCTGGAACAAGCATGTATGTGTAGAATCCAAGCCATGCAAAATACAGAGCAATCTTCTCACCAAAATATGCCCTGTTGAGATCAGACAAATAAAACACAGGTTTGTATTTAAAGATTGGAATAGATTTCTCAGTGTGGAATAATGGATAACCTAAGAGTCTGTAGACTTATTTCCAATGGGGTCTTTTGGTACTGACTGGACAGTATACAGGGAGACCATCTTCTGCATACACCGGGAGACAATCTCCTGCTCATTTCTGAAAGTGTATTGTACTCTTTCATGTGCACTTGGCCTATAGTACACACGTGGGACAGATGCCTTAAGCATCTCATCCAAAATGTGATGTGCTATTGTATTGCATTTCAGTAACACATGGAAAGCAATGGAAATTGATCCAGTGACCAATTATGTAAAAATCTGAATGGTTAAGTCCACAAAGTGACTACCACCAGTTTAGCCAACTATTTTAAGTTGCTTTCGAATGGATGTGGCATGGCAGATGCATAAAAAGGTTTTGGCTAAGACTTGTTTTATATTTTTTCCACAAAATGAATGCAAAATATAAGATATCATAAGAAAGTTATTATTTGCATTAACCATTCCCAGCAGCAAATATTCGGCCTTTACTCATTAATTAATAGACATTAATATTCCATTATGAGGTCTAATAAGTGGATTGGATTGGATTTGATTTGTTCGGTGTAAACACTAAGGATAGCCCAAATCTAGAAGAAGACATATTTCCAGTGGGGTCCTTCTGGTGGTCATTGGGCAGTACGGCTTAAACGTCTCATCCGAAAGACGGTACGCTATTGTAACTTGTATTTCAGCCCTCCAGCTGTAACACAGAGAGGCAGGGATGGGAATTGAACCGGGGACCTAGAGATCTCAAGGGTTCAGCGCACACACAATGGCTACCACCAGATTAACCGACTGAGCTAAGTACGCTGCTCCCTATGAGGCTGTTACACTGACAATTGATATTCCTACCTGACTTGATCCAATGGTTGAAATTTATACCACATTCCAAATCTTCCCCAAGTCTCATGTAGCAGCTGCATTATTAAGAAATTAAATATAATTATTGTTATGAATATGCATATAAATTTCTCTTTTCCAACATTTATTTTCTATTCTTATTTATTGAAACTACACATCAGTCAATTCACCTATTCAACAAGTATTTTTCGCCTACTCATCACTCATTTTGCCTACCATCAGATCCTATTCATCGGCTATTTTTCCTACTCTTGGTCACTTGCTTTTTCCCATCAGTAATTTCTCTTCCTATCAGTAATTTCTCTTCCTATCAGTAATTTCCCTTCCTATCAGTAATTTCCTTTCCCATCAGCTATTTCCCCTTTTGCATCAACCACTTCCTTCCCTCAATGTTAGTTTTTTAGTTGGAGCCTTATGACATTCCCGGCTGGTAAAATTAGATCTACAAGACTATAGTGAATAGAGCAAGGACGGTATACATACATGTCGGTCATTCTCAGCCCCCGATAGGATAGAATGCTTGCTCTTGTAGTCACCATCATGGAGTGGATATGCTGCTGCATATGATCCATTACCAACCAAATGGTCAACACCTAATACAAACAAAATATGAAATAAGCATACATAATGAAATAGTAAAAAAATGTATTCATATATCCACTACATTGGAAAATACCAACCGCCCCTTGCTCTCAGCATAAGGGTTTCAGAATATATATTTTGCATAAGGCTTTCTCCACACTATCAAATTTTGTGACAAATTTATGCGATGTGACCAAGGCATGACAATAGTGTAGACAGGGCTTTAAGATTGCAAATTTTATAATTTTACATAAGGCAAAGTTCACACTATCGAAATTTATGTGACAAATTTATGTGATATGCCCATATATAGGCATGATAATGTGGACAGGGATTTAGGATTTGGAATGTTTGCATAAGAATAACAATCATGGAAACATCAATTCAGACTCACCAAATTTGTTCTTATTATCTGGATCATATCGAGTCCTCTCCAAGATCTCATACACCTAAATAATAAAATAATAATCAAATCACAGCTTGCTATAAATTAATGTCTATGCTAATAAACAATAATTACCTACAATCCTAATTTACATACAGACTCTTCCGGAATGTCAAACTTAACTGACCAATCAGGAAAGGACCAGGCATACACGCCCATCTCATGAACATTACGTATTGTCCCTCAAGTGCATATATAGGCCTATACATACATTACAAGGTCATTGTGTGGGACCTTAGCAAACAATAATCAAAGAGCAGGGCTTATTCAAATAGTCTATATATTCTTTGCAGCTGCCTTGATTTAAAAAAATTGAAAACAAGTTAAAAATAGCACAGAATACTGGATATGTATTAAACATAAACAGAATAAATTGGGAAAACCACACAAAATAGAAGACCAAGGAATGGAACATAAAAAAAACATGAACAAGAGGAGATATATATACATATGTATATATTTATGATATTGAAGGGAGTTATCCGTTAACACTGTTGACTAAATATATATCCTGTCAGAGGCATTTTATTACACATTGACTTTTATAGGACTTTATTCCTTGAAAAGCTACAGGGTAGCCTACGATGTTCCTTCATGTCCTTATTTAAACACTGTATATGTACCTTTGATGATTTATATTATATATATATATTAATATAACATGCGAGTCTCTATATATTAATATATATACATATATATATTAAAGTGTTAAACTATGATTCATATAAGCCTACCATTCTAATCCTTTCAGCAGTTGTGAAGAACGTCTCTCTATCCTCAATAATGAATCTGAATAAATAAAAATACAATGGTAATATTATTTGATATAGCACATTTCCAGAGGACACAAAGTGCTGTGGACTAACTGTAACTCGTCGTTTCAATGACTTTTTTCTCCCCTAAGGTCTCTTCATGTCTGAGCTCACAGTAAACCGGTACCAGCTACTCTCATCTGTTCACAACAGGGGCTGTACGGACCAGTACACAGGGTAACCCCCTACACGTCTCAAAAGATCTACTGGTAAGTGGACACAAGTCAAATTATGTACACTGGGCCTACAGTTTATAGTCCTTATTCGAAAATGGCTGAAGGTTGCGGCGCCCCAGCACTGACGGCTCGGCCATCCAACTCACTGATCCAATCCCAATACCAATTAAAACAATATAACTATATACAAATTCTTTCTTTGGAGAAAATAAAGCAGACTTCAAAAAATTTGTTTCCCCTTTTGTTATATTACTACATTATTGTTTAGGTCATGGATAAAGAAATATTTTCTTCTTTATGTTCAGACACATAGTTTGTAAGATTCTGATGAGGTTTTATACATCATGAACATCTGAGCATTTAAGGAATTTCCAGAACCCTTTATTTCCCTCCTAACCACAACTCTGCACGATTTCTAATATTTGTATGCAATTAAGAAATCTCTTAATGTTATTAATAGGTCAATAGTTAAGCCTGGTTACGGTAAAATTTCTATCGATCTTGCCAAAAGCAGTCAGCGACAGCGTGTAGCAATTTTATGGATACTAGGCTTTAGGTTTATCCACGGAAGTACACCACATGGTTTATCTTAACTATAATAATAATATAATATAAATAATATAATATGATAATATTTGGATTTATTGGTTCACACATCTTGATTTCAAAGAATATTATACATACTCCTCAAGTCTATTTGGATCAAAAGCAGCAGTGAAGTAATTTGTCTCTTCTGTTATTAGATCTGCGTCGTAATTGAATGGATGTGGAATACAATCTAACAGGTCCCTTGGTGGTGGTAAATCATTTTCCTTAAAAGAAAAAAAAAATTTAAATAATCAAAGCCCCTCTCCAACTAGAGGTTTTTTTTAGTATACGAGTTAGAAGAGTTTGCAAAACTTGCAATAAACTTGTAGGATGATTCGGGAAGCTAGGGGAGAACTTGTACCTACTCGTAGCAGCTCTGAACTCTTGGCACTAATTTTGAACATGTTCAAAATTAGTGCTCCCACCCCCACCCCCAGGTTTGACGGAAAGAATCTGGGATAAAACTCTAGTGGAGTACTCTTTATTATTGATTTTGGACATAAGTTTTTAAAATACCAATTTTAACATTTACATACCTTTTACATGTTTATATATTTTTTGTATTTATTGTGGACAATGAAGTTGATTAGACACCCTAGTTCTTGTCCTTACCTGAATCGGCTTCTTTAGTTTAATTTCTGCCGCCATTCGACACAACACTTTCCATGGTGCATGAATTTTAACAAAAAACGTCTTTCCATCAGCTGATTCCTGGATCAAATACAAATGCACAACTCGTTAAAATAATGTAAAGTAAACGATTCCCGATGCTGGGTTAACCAACACGTTAATTACACAAGTATGTTATAACTCATTAGGATATACTACAAATATTTTTAGTAGAAAAACTCAGGCTTCATGCACAACACTGTTACTAGATTAAATTATACATAAGTTAAATACTGTAATATATAAAATATATAATATATACATATGTACTACAAATAACTATTAGTAAATTTATTTTTTGAAAACAATTGTTTTTGTTAGCAATTCATTTTAGTTGTTTGTGTGCTGATACAATGTCTGTTTTCTGTAATTTAATCAGGGTGACGTTAATACAGAGACATTATATTGTACTAATTATATTACAGTTGTCATTAATATTAATTGACGCCACAAGATTGATAACTGGTTTCCAAATAATGTATGCATGTAATTATCAATAGGAATGTAATTTCAAAAACAACAGAGAAGGAAGAAGAAAAGTCTATGAAGATATAAAAAATAAAACAGAAAGGGCTGCACATACAAGAGAAAAATAAATTCAGGTGCATTGCAGTGGTAAAATCGAAATGACAAATTAAAGGAAGGGAGAAGATATAGGAGATAAAAAAAGGTTGGGACAATATAGAAACATCTGGATCTGAAAAATAACATTTTTATAAGTATAAAAAACAAAGGAAATACAAAGAATCAGAAAAGTAAAATTATATACAAAAGTACCAAGTAAAAAAAAATATTATTGATTTTAATAAATAAGAATGGTATGGCTTTTATGAGAGTGATGGGTCAATTGAATACTATTTGTATGGATGTTATGTGTGTAGGCCTAGGCAATTACGCACATACTTACCGGATCATCAGGGTTCTATATTGATGAGTACATGAAAACAAAATACACGGATGCATGCATGATATGCCCCAGGATGAAATGAAAAAAAAATATCAACGTACGTTGTTATGCAAATGGGAGGAAATCATTCAAAATTAACTAAAAATATGTTAATTTAGTTGTATCTGAACGATTTCATTAAAATATAAATTGGACAATATCATTTAACTATCTCACATTTAAGTACCATTTAGGTATAAGTTTATAATTCTTTAGATTATAAGTTATAAATATCAATATTTCATATATTGTCATAAATATTAATAAAAAAATATTTACATTGACTAAATTGTCAAATAATGGTGAATGGTACTAAAATTGAGAAGATGCAGTTATTATAACTAGAACTATTATACTATTATACTATTGGATGCAATTATGAAGTCATGCTAAAAAAAAAACAAAAAAAAACATTCATTAGTCTAAAATTTGCAATGCTATTGGATCATACCTTATTTCATTATTTCCAAGAGAATATAAAAATTAACTCTTTTCTGTGAAAATTTTCTTCCCAGAAGAGTACATAATAAAATGATGATGATACTCTGTTTATCCTTACCATAATGTATATTTGTACTATCATGAAAGTAATTTATGACCCAATAGCAAATACAGTACATGCAATGCGCTAATAAACAACTTTGGACATACACATAAAAACAAATTAGGACAAATACTATGCATATTGTAACAGTCACCAAAAATGCCAACATAATAAATTACACTGAATTACAACTATTTATCACTAAAGTATATGAAACAGAAGGTAATTTTTTCACTCATTTATATTACAAAAAGTAAGACTGATAAATCATAAAAATTATTGTCAAATACATTATTGTTATAAACAACAATTTAAAACAATAAGATAAATCCAAACTAACATGTTTACTTGTGAGTCAAATTAAATGAATATAAGTGTAATAATAGTTAATAGTAAATAGATTTAAGATATTGATTTTGTCCACTTATTTTAAAAACACAAGTGACGAGAAGTGAAAACATCTAAGCATTCATAATTTAAGTTAATACTTTGTCTCTTAATTTCAACTTTATGAATGCACAATTAGGAAAATGCAGAGCACACGTCCCTCAGATAGAAAGTTAAATAAAATATTGTAGACTCCTATTCTTAAAGTATAGGCCTACTTGTACTTAAAGCAAATTTAAATACAGCATTACCATTATTACATTTTAATGTATTTATGATTGGTGTTGAAAATTAAGAAATATAGATTTTAAATATTACAAGATACCAAATCAATTTATTGTCATTGTGCACAACACAGCTCACATGAAATTCAGATTCCAATGTTCAAGTAATAATCAATCTATTCATTCATTCATCTATGAAGGAAATTATGGGGTTGTGTCTTCAAATAAAAAATCAAAGATGAAATTCCCCCTCCATAATCCAAGTCCGAAGATAGGGAACTCGCATAATTACATTACTAATAGTTATAAATAAAATACCAGATATATAAAATAACAATATAGCAAAATTAAATAAGAAAATAAGAATTAGAAAAAGAAACAACAGAAACATGATAATCAATACCACCATGAAAATTATACCTAATAAAATAATGAGTGAAACCATGAGAAGCACTCCTGTACACTATCAAGTCTTATTCTTACCAATACCTGTGATATGTCCATATATGGGTGTGGAGTGACATCATCAAGTCCATATATGGGCAAATCACTGATACTTGTCACATAAAACTTGTTTGACAGAGCTTAAAACCTGTGCAATTGAATGTAGTGAAAATGAAGATCATGACCGACAACATAAATCACCATAGTAATAACACACAGCGTACATTAGACCTGTACCATGTTAGATCCCTCCATGGCTGATATAGTACTAACACAATATTATTTTAATATTATCATTCATGTAGTAATCTCTAAGGTCTGTTGGAATCAAAGTTGGTGGTGGTCAAATGAGAAGGGGAAAAAAAATCGCACTTGTAGACTGCCAACTTGAACGACATGGGTTGAGAAATACTGCACGGTACATAACTTTTGAGAGCTCAAGTTTAATTATTAATGGGGAGAGAGGGTCGGACAAAACAGAAGCATGAAATGATACAGTCAATTGCTGAGTAGGAGAAATGGAACATCTAAATAAAAATTACAAAGGGATTTTGCAATGAGTTGGAGTGTAGGAATGGAGATAGGACAATAAAACCAATAGTGGAAAATCTCCTGACATCCTTACTGGACAGCTTCAATAAACAGTAATACGACAGTCACGATTCCAAGCATGACTACAAAATGAAACACATCACGACTAGATTCTAGGTCAACAGTTTCGTGTACTAGATATAGTGACAGAATTATAAACAGAATCATCAACTTGTGACAGGGAGACAAAATGAGTGTAGAACAATGACTGTCTAGTGCAATGAACTACAAAAGGAAAAAGAATAATTTTCAAAAGGGTGTAACTTCAATAAAATAATAACAATAATATGTCGGTCTTATGCAGAATTTCATGCCAAGGTCTATAATGTGCTTTGCATTATTACTCTGTCGTTGAAAGAAAGGCACAAGGAACACACTCAGCTTAGTTGTTATTAAATTCCTCGTTAATTATTAACTTTCTTTTTTGCAGTATGTGCCTAATGTTCCATAATTTTAAACTCCATTTCAATTTTAAACTCCATTTCAAGAGATTATGAACCATGTTTAGAATTAGAAACAACATCTCCATCTGTCAAACCAAAACAATATCTAATAGCATTTTTCACTAAAATTAATTCTCCCCATAATGATTTTTTTATTATAAAAAAAAAGTTATCTTCACATATTAGTTAACATTGCTTCAAATCTGTATTATATCAAATGATAAATAAGTTTTATAAGTATAACAATTTTGAGTGCAATTAGAGTATAATTAATGTTTTAATAAATCTTAAATGTGTGTAATTAAAGTCTATGGATGTGGGCTTGCTATTGCAACAATACTAAGCAAAACACATCAAGCACAAACCTTTTTAGAAATACACTTATAAACACACAGCAGTAGAGAACTGCAAATTAAGAATTATAACCCTTCACCGCAATCTAAACGTTTAAAAAAAACTATCTTGGTAAACCAGTAAAGAAAATTTTAAACCATGTAAAATAGCATACCGTTGGTGTCGCGCGTTCCTAAAAGAGAATAAATTTAAATAAACAAAGATACACAATTATCTTACATTGTATCTTTTCGTTGTTTTAATATAAAGTATGAATTTAGGAAAAAAAATGCTTACAATGAATAACTCAACTTGATTTGATTATTATTCTTAAATGTGAATTACTTTAAAAAAAACAAAATTTTGAGTAAAATCTGACATGAATCTCTGAAAAATAAACAAATAAATTATATAAACTATTTCCAATAATGTATATTTTAACCAAAATCTGATATGAATGACTATGTGAATGAACAACATAAAATATCCCACAAGTCACTGCATGTATTTCCATGGCAATAACAACAGCTTGATAGCATGGCACTGTAAATGGTTTTGATTGACATAATGAATAGCTAATTAAAAGGTTAGGAATTAAGACTTACACCAGCATCTTCATATTCCAACTCCAACCCTTCTTCCTTCAAGTTCAGTTCGAACTGCTTACGTTTACGTCCTCGCTTAGCATCGTACTCTTCATCACCTTTCAGCTTGTAGGCCAATACGTAGTCGATTTTCCTCTTCCCATCACGGAAGAAAATGTCCTTTCCTTTTTCTCTAGTCTAAAATATAAAATTAGAAATTGAATTAAAATACTGAATTATATTTCTAAGGTTTTTAGCTTATCACTGATGGTACATCTTGAAGTAACTACTAATACCCTAAATTTTTTTTTTTTAATTTATTAAGGTATAGAAACAATTAGAAAACAGTACATTACATCATTTATAGAAATGTTTAGGTTGACTTATATTTAAGTTTATACATACACTTTTGACATGTACATATTATATCAAATTTAGACAAGTAAAATAGTTTTTTAGTAGCCCAACATTTTGGTTCATACACTAAACAATATTTAATTTTTTTCCAGGTCATATTACAAGAAAGATTAATTCAAAAAGTTAAAAAACTCTCTTGAAATCTTGATAAGTCTTTTATAGCAAGTGAACAGTGTACATATTATTGATATTTTATATTGAGGTTCTAACTAATTTCTGTTGATTTCTTTGTATTAATAGTACCATCAAAAGTTTTTAAATTTTCCTTTGTATATTTTAATGTCTGCAATGATTATCGGTAAATAAATTTATGTTTTATTGTTCTTGTTCATTATGAATTCTGACTTAAGAAGCAGGCAGTAAAAAATTATAACTTTCTAAACGTTCTACAATTAGGATTTGGAGAATTAACAAATTTGGAACATTTTAAGAATGTGGCTACAAGTACAACATGCAGACAAATAAAAAATGAGCAAATGATGTGACGATGAAAAGCGGGCAAAAGCAAACATTTAAACAATTTTTACTGTTTTTGCCAAATAGGCTATACATACTCAAAAAGATTGAGGAATGCAGTGTTTTCATTATGTATATTTCTGTTTTCTAAATCGATCCATGACCTTTGATATAGTCCGATATGGAAGTTAAGCCTCTGCCAGACAACAATAGTATGGTAGCATTTCTTGGTCTACAACATTACTTATTTTGGTCTGGTTTAAATAAACCCCCAATATATCAAATGTGTATACACAATTACATACCATAATGAAATGAAAAAAAAAAATAAAAAATTATATATTTATTATATACATTACTTTATATAATATATTCATAAATACACTATAAAATATTATATTATTTATTATATCCATTATGATGTTTAATTAAATACCTGAACATGCATTAAATAATTATATAGTTATGTTTTCTTATGTATTATCCTATTTGGTATATAATAGACCGAATTAGTCACCAAATATGCCGTCATCACATTTTCACCGAGTGGGTATTAAAGTTGTTTACCTTGCCAATGTCCTATGCTAATGCATTGAGCGGAGTCGAAAGTGGTGTTATTAAATCGTCTAGAATGTAATGAATGTTGTTTTTATAACAACGTTTAAATTTTGAATGATTCATGGATTCATGAAACTAAGGTTGATTTGATTTACATTTTCATTCAGACTAAAATATGAAGTTTTTGAGAGGCCTACGCCAATCGCTTGCGAGACTCGCCACATCCAGTGCTGACTAAGGCGATTACTGTTAATGCAGAGGTAAACATTGAGCTTAAATACGGTCACTAAATCATTTTGTGCCATTTCTGTACGTAATATTTAAACTATTGGATAAACTTAAATTGCTGATTTGTAGAATAAGATGTTTCATTTGCCAATGAGTCAGAAGAACGTTGTTTGTACGACTCTCTAGTTTTTAATCAGTTTATTTTACTCAATTTCAAATCTAACAGGGTCAAAATTCTGATGTTTATTAAAGAAATATTTACCAAGATAATATGTACAAATAAATAAGTTTGAGGAAATTTTTTCGAGCGGAGGCTTATTATGTGAAAAAACTGCCCCCTAGCATTTTGTTTTGATGATATACAAACTATTTCCTCCATGGTTATACCTACTATAACCACTTTGTGTTGGCGACTAATTCAGTCTATTAACTGAATGTAGGAAAAGAACAATTTTACATGCTAGAACCTATTTCAGATAACCATGCTACTATATGCCAAGACAACTTACATTACTTATCACTTTACAAAAGGATTATGTTAGATTGAACAACAAAAATATTCTAAGTATTATCTTATATGGACAAGGTTTATAAAAAAGAAAACAAATTATACAATGTTATTATAACTACATGTTAGCAGTATTAGTACAGAAAGTAAGTGCTATAATCAGAGCATTAGATAATGTTTACTCGATAAAACCGTTCTTTCATGTTAAACTATAACCAATAACACTGCGCATGAGCGCACAACCGTAATAAATGAATATTTTAATATGATTGCATACATTAATTCTGTTGCACATGAGGTGAATTGTTAGGCTTTGGAATTTCTAAAAGCTTGATGTGACTTCAAATGACAAAGCGAGCAAAATCATATTTAGGAAGCCTTCAAAGCTGATTGACAAAATATTTAAATGATAATTTTAAAAAATTTGTTTTCTTCGTAGATATATTGTGATGTAATACCAAATAAAAAAATAACATGATTCTGATTTGGAAGAGCCTGGATGAAGCCAATTTCTATTTCTCAACGATGGCTACAACAGAGTCGCTTATCTAGGAACTGCATATGGGCTAGATAATCACAGACACTGATTATTCAATGACTGAATTTAATAATTTTCTGGGCATTTTGCCCAATGGTTTCTGGAAATTGGTACCAACTTAGATGATATTGCTTTGAGGGGATAATTTAATCACACGATATATGACATGGAACGGTATCAGTAAATTTTTGTTATTTAAGAACAAAAATTAAAGTTGTTAATTTAAAAAATAAAAATCCAACCAAAAGAAAAATTCCAAAATGCAAAGGAACTTTTTATTTAATATAATATAAAATTATATAATTTTGTGAAAAATTATTTTTTTTAAAGATATATTCTTCCAAATTCAGTTGCACATTCCCAGCATGCAATTCACCTGTGTCTTCTTTCTCATTTCAACTACAGTTTCTATTTCATCAGCTGATGCATCAGCTGTAGCTCCTGCCCCTTCCTCGGGGGCGATCTTCACATGTTTTTCACTGCTTGGATCATCTAAATTTGATTCTGCCTCTTTCTGAATATATTTTCATATAAACATTATTCTTAGCTTACTCTTTGATCAATACAGAAACATTAAGAAATATTTTGAATTATGTACTAACTTAATACCTACACTATTGACATGTTAGTAATAAACTACAGTAAAATACCAACAGAATGAGCAACGCATAATTTCTGTTCACAAGCACAATTACGCCACGCATGAGAAATTATTACCAGCAGTAGCGAAAGCCATGTTACCATTGCTTCGCTAAAATGAGCAAGCCGTAATTACCATCCTTCTTGAAACATTAGCGAGAAGTTACACAAAATCTTAGATCCCATTCACACTTAAGGTATGATTTTCTGCACTTAGGACTTCTAGATCTAAGTGTGAATGGAATAAAAGTTATTGATGCATCCTTTCTGGAATACTAAAGGCTTGTGGATAATTGCTAATTTATTAAATGGGAAGTTAGATGCTTTGATAGTATTTGGATGATTTACATTTAAAGGCACACACACTAAACAAACATACATCACAGCAGCTTCATGCAAATGGGGACATGGATACAGATACTTAGAGAACAAACACATCAACAAGTAAACCGCGCCCAACTCACCTCATCCAGCAAAGGCCCGTGATCCTTGACGACGTAGCAAGCAATTTAACACATGGATGGTAAAAATGAGAGCACATACAGTAAGGACAACATGCAGAATACAATATTATCCAGGTGGTAACAGTAAAAATACATGATATGCAAATTAAACAAAATGTTCAATATATAAATCCAGATGACAAAGTGTTTACAATGTTCATATTGGTGGTGAATATGCAAAGCCAGGTGGCCATGCACAATTAGCTGGGTACAGTATAACCATTTACAATTACCCAGGTAGCCACCTGCAATTACCAAAGTGACCACATACAATTATCCAGGTGACCACATTCAATTAGAATAGTGGCCATGTACACCTAAGCTGAGTGTCCAATTCCAGTCTGCTGTGATGTCTACAGTAATTAGCTGTGCACAAATTCACCATCAAATTGTAAATGCATATTTATCTATCAAATGAACATCAATTAGGAATTAAAAAACAGAAATTTGCATAGGCTATTAGGTGTCTTGCCTCATAAGTGCATCCTACTGATGTGGGTATTTTTTTCATTATAATCCATGACAAGATATGGATGAGGCTAAAAGTAGTACAAGACTATGTATGATAGACCTGCGGTTCTCAATGGGGCAGAGACGTGGGCAGTAAAAGACGAGCATGTAAAGTAGCTGGAAGAAATGAGATGTCTGTGAACAATGAGGAGTAACAAAAAATTATAAGGCAGAAAATGAAGGTTGTGTAATATAGGGATTTAGCGATGACTGGTTATAGGCGGTCACGTGATCGAACTTGGGTAAACATGAAAAACATAATAGTGCGATAGCATAGGAAAAGATAATATGGTTGCGAAAACAACCACCCACTGTTAACGTTAGAGGTAAATGACTAGGAAAGGCAATACGATTGTACAAAATAGTGTTTATTTACTTATCCTAGCATTCTCCTTGGATTATATGCTTCGAAATTTAAGTAATCCTTCATAAACCTTAGCTGGCCCTTATATCGCAGCGTAGTTCGTGGGTCAAAACCCACCATGCATACCTAAACATGCCGTAGATGTGCAGGGGCCTAAGCCTAACCTTTGTCGAAAAAAATCTCAATGTTTGCGGCCAGCATTCTTTACAGCTTTAGCAAAACATTAAGGCAAAATTCTCAAGTTTAATTTCCAATCAATTTGGTATAGTTTACTGGGAATTATGATGAGCTTTACAGCAATAAAAGGGACTGCCGCGATAGAAATTTCCATGTAAAACACCACTGTGTCAGTGGACTGTTTATATCCAACACCCAAGTTAGGTCGTGTGACGCCCATCGCTAAATCAGTCTATTGAGAAAAAAAATTGAGAAAGCAGACTGAGATAGTGGACACATGAGGAGAAAAGAAAACGATTTGCAAGATGGTCAACGGAACACATACTGTAGTGACGATGACCTAGAAAGAGGTGGATGGACTGTGTCCAAAATGATGGTAGTGATTTGTCTGAGCAGGATGGTAGTCAACAAAGGAGAGTGGAGAGCGGTGCCAACGACAAACAGGGATGATAGTGGATATAATATCTGGGTTTTAAAATGAAACAGGATTCAAACGTAGGACCTGGTATAGAAAAGCAAATCAATTTGTTTTAAATTTCATTTTGATTTAAACCAAAATTAGATTGATACCCACATCAGCAGTACTGTAGCAAAAGTGAATATTTCAAAAATAACATTCTTTTGTGGTATATGATGCTCGAAATTAGAAACATAAATAGCAGCAATATTTAGTAAACACATTAAATTTAATTTGTTCATAAATTCAAAGCAGATTGTTATATTTGCATATCACTGAAAAACCAACCTGGATTGTCATGCAGACAAATTTATGTTTTATATAAAATTTAAGTGTAAGTATACCCATGTAAAAAGCCTCACACATTTAACCTAAAAAAAATATTATACTGTAATAAAATCACATAATGGCTTCATATGCTAATGTTCTAAAGCTTCAGGACTAAAAGAATAACTGCAAGAAATTTAAAATTGATAAGAACATTTATTCTAATTGCAATTAAAATAATAAAGCTTGTTAATAATGATATTTCATAAAATAGTTAGTAATTCTAATAAGAATTGGTAAATGCATTTATATTCTGAATGTGTTTAATTTTGCTGTGTTTTCAAATTCTTAATATCAATTAGTAAATTTTAAATTATTTTTACTATTTAGTATGCTGAATGTTTAAATTTTTAATACAGTATAGCATTACTACTATCAACAACAAATACAGCTTATACCTGAATATTTGTGTAATGGATGTATGAGCCATTTTACAGCTATTCAATGCTAAGCACCCATTACCAGCAAAGCTCTCTTTACCATATGCTAAAACTGAAGCCTTTACATCTTGGGTATTTTTTTAAGAAAAATATGGAAACTTGCTATAACAAATTTTCAATACATTTCTCTACTTTTCCAATGTAGCTCTCTATTTTTATATATATTGCCTTCTACTCTAATCATTTTAATCTATTTTAATTTCTCTACTTATTTATATCTTGGTCTCACCTTCTCACTGTTAATTTCCACATCATTTGGCTGGACTTGACCTAAAAAAAACAATAAGTTACTAATTATTAGATCATATGGAGCATTTTTGAATACGATAGTGCAGACTGTAACTTATAACTTTAAAATATGACAATTCATGATCAATACATTCTGTTCAAAGACCCACAACCCAAACAGCATTGTAGCCAGGTGAAGCGCATGGGGGTCTTGGCATGATATATACAGTCCTATAAAGAAGACAGTATTATAATTATCATGAAGGACATCATTTAAGAACAATTCATGATCAACCCATACCCAAGCAGATCTGCAGCTATCAAAATTGTGGTAATGACCGGATGAACATTAAATGAACCACTAAATGAGAATACAGGTAGCTACAAAATTTCGTATTCCAAATTATAGATAGGAGAAACTATGGGAATATTACTGATACATTGGTCAGTGGGCTAAACACATTACCAAAAAGAAGTTGTTTTCACTTGTACTGGCCGGCTCTACTGTAGTGTGACCCCTGGATTAACATGGGATAGGCAAGCCATTAAACAATTAAAAAAGAAAACTAAATGAACATTTTTATGCTGTTTGATGCTGAAGAGGTCTTCCACTCACTCCAGCTCTACAATGTAGAGGTGGAGTGTAACTATGTACCAATAGATGTAGTACTGTACTTTATTTTGTTATTAGTAACAAGTATAGTGATATACCTCATGGAAGAACATCCCTTAAATCAGAGCTTGCACAAATAAATTAACTGAATTTTAAATATTATGTAAAAGATGCTACTGAAAATTATCATTATATTATAATCCTACCTTCTATTACACAAGATCCAGTGGCATGATAATTTTCCTTCTCATTTGTGGAATATCCTAGCAATTGGCACTCATCAACTACATTTTTTGATGTAGTGCTATTCAACCGATATAAACTCATGACGATACTTATCAGTTATTTTCAAGTTTTGTGCAATCCCTCCAGAATTACATTAATTACACTTTGAAATGCATTAATAAGCGCTACGATCTTGATGTAACTGCGCTATATAAATGCACAGTATGTATGTAAGGAGTAATATCCAAGTAGAGCACCATACAAAACTACTAAGGAAACAGCAAATGATAGATCCAAATGCAAGAAACTTGTTGCATCCAGGTGAGTGTATAGTATAATGAAAAGTATACTTTCCTACAGCTTGGACCCTCCCTACTTGATTGCAAACATTGATAGTAATGTATATTTATTTTATCAAAGTTTGTATTTGAATAATGATTATAGAAATGACAGTTAAGATTGAAGTTCAAATTTTTATTGTAAACAAACTAAATAATTATTAACAATAATTTATTCCGAGATACATAATATTTAAAATTTGGTTGATTTTAGTAGCTATGTAGTTTTGCTATAATGTAAATCCCTTAACGAAGTTACTGTAATTAATACATATCTACTGTAAGGGTTAAAAGAATAAAACTAAAAACTAATCAAATCAAAAAGGTTGTTGAAAAGTCCCGAACTGCAAGTGTAACCGTGGCATAACAATCACTGAGAAAAATCTTAATGTCATCAAATGATTAAACAAAAAAAATGTTTTTCATAATATCAAAACTGCACTAAATATATCACAAGACTCTTCCATTATGAGATAGGTAAAACTTACAATAAAGCACATTATTCCCTATTGGATCTGCATTAGGGAAGCAATATTAAAAGAAAGAACAATATTTAAACTGCGATTCAAACGTGTAGTTTGTATAGTATTGAGAAATTGCAATTCTTTTTTTGAGTTCCTCCTAAACAATTTATCACAAAAAAAGTATTTGAAGCCTGTATTTTAATTCTTCTGAATTAGGATTATTCCATTTTTCAAGGCTGAATGAATTCACAGGAAATTATAACAACAAGATGATAAGGTAGGTTTTTTTTTAGCAAAGGCAATTTAGCCATAGCTTTAATACATGCGATTACAAAGATTATGTAGAATTTAAATAAAACAGGAAAATTCTTTTAATATTTATTTTAATACAAAAAAAACCACATTTTTTATACAAAGAAACCAACATAATTTACATACATCAATAAAAGAATCAAATTGAATACTGTACAGGGGTAATCGGCAATATAATAATATCCCAATATAGTAAACTATTGTCAACAAAATTCTAGGTGTCCAAATTTTGACAATTCCTAACATGTAATAATAATTGTTCGTTTATTTGTGTCTAGATAGAAATGTCAACAATATATTAACACATATGAAGCATTTATCATCACTATTTGTAGATCATGAGGAAAAATAAATTAAAATTCAGTGAAGTTGCTTTAATTAATGATACATAGAACAGTAGTGCAGCTGATCCCAACCACTTGGTCTCACAGGATACACCCACCTTCAACAATCTGTTAACTTTTCAACAACAACTATCGTGTATGGGGAAAATAGACTTTAAAAGATGATGATGACGATGATAATGATGATGATGACATTCATGATATTAAAGGAATATATGATGGTTTCAACATTCTAAAATTAACATGACCATTGATTATACAGTACCAAACTGTAGACAACTACATGAACTATGACATTGGTAATGCCGCCTAGATGACAAAGAATTTGGCTCTAGTATACTACAACTGTGTGGGAGTATTAGTAGTGCCAGCTAAATAAGTAATATATAAACCAAACTTCATGTATGTATTATGCATGCTGTACATTAGCTGTTTACAGCACATTGCATTAATGAAAGAGAAACTTTGTATTATAGTTTCATATGGCTGAAGATTAAGATTCTCAGTAGACTTGGTGCTTGCAAAGCATGAACAGAAAACTAACAAGCAACAACAATCAAACAATTATTGGGTACACAGGGGCGGAATGCTGCAAACTGTGTTGCGCCCTAGTGTACAGCTTGTGTAAGTCTGTGTGACAACACACTCCATTGTCCACAGAAGCTTGTTGCTAAATATTTAACAACATTGTTTAAAGTGCAATAAAACTTTAAAAAATACGTATTTCTTGGTTTTTAAATCATGGGTTTCTATCTTGTAGATTTGTACCATAATTTTTGTATTATATCCAAGCAGCAAAAAAAAAAATAATATGTATTTCTTGTTTTTTAAATCATTGGTTTCTATCTTGTAGTTACACCATAATTTTTGTGTTATATCCAAGCAGCAATATTTATTGCTATATTAAAATCAATCAAATTATGATTTAAATGGGCTCTTAAAACTATGGACAATTAAATGAACAATTAGAACTATGGACAGGTACCCGAGTAGACCATAGTCAACAACATCTACTGTACAGTAGACCATTGCCTATGATAGCAGCCAACTGTGTTTGCACTAGTGCCTGAAGTAATATGGCTCAGTAGCCATGCATAATGGAAAAGACACACTTCAGTCATTGTTTAGAATAGTTTACACATACAATACTCCCACACAAATCTTTAACTACAGACTGAATGAACAAAGTATGCTATACAAGGTAGTACCAGTACATAATGAACTTAGACGTAGATGATGAAAGACATCATGACCCTGACTTTTAATGTGTAAGTACTGGAACAAACCATTGCCAACTAATTCGAGGATAGGCTTAAGCTCAGTTGACACACTGGCAGGACATTGGAATGAGTACTTCGGTTGGAATTCTCACAGAAATATATTTTTTTTTTCATTTCTACATTCTTATATAAAGCTCTTAAAGGTTATCATAGCTCCATTAGTCTTACTAGACTAATATTAGTCTTTTGAAATGCACTTTCTCATGATGTTACAAGAGGTACACCTCATTTGTAAGATTAAACTTTTAAAGTATGGTGGAGTGGCGCTCCCAGCTGGCAACAGTTTTACATCTACTTCTACTTGGCACACATTGCATACAGATGTACTGTCCAGAGTCAGAGAGAATGTCATCGTTCACAGGAAATAAAGTTTGGTTTGCCAAAATGAATTTACAATAAATATCTGCACCAGTATTAATGTTAAATTTATTACCCGCATATACATATCTATTTACCACATCATGCATTTGCACTTGCCTAAATTATTTGGTGCCCTAAAAAATTCTAACAACTTTTCATGAAAATTCAAGCAGATAGGAATCCCTACAAAATATTGTGCAAATATGTTCCTTCTTCCTAACTAACTAAAACCATCAACAATTGAATAACAAATCTGTCAAACCTACAAATACTATTCAATACAGTACATTACTACCACTGTATGGTTATCAATATCAACACTATAAAAATCATTAATGTCACTAATTCATTTTGGTTTAATTAACTCACCAGCATGAATTAGCACAACCTTATCCATTATCAATCAGGTTTTCTATGTGAAGCTAGCTTGAAAGACTGAGCTGCAGTGCAAATAATCCTGAAAGATTTAGCTGCAGTGCTATAATCCTTGTGTCACAATGTTAAGTTGACCTAATTCACCTTGTAGCTGGATGAGTGTTTTTGCTCTGCCATTACATAACCCTGTTAGTTAGCATTGAACTACAGGTGTGGTTTGTTTAGTATGTAAATGATTGTTTTGGTATGCAAATTTGTTTTTACCAGGGTTAAACTGGTTGCAGCAAGTTTGTGTGCAGATTTGACCTGCTGATAAAGGAGAAGAACTGCCAGGGCGCCCTCAAATGCAATGGAAGTACTATAGTCATACAGGTTTTGTAATTTTAGTCTGATTGCTAAAAAATACTATTTGTGGCAAAGACAAGCCAAACTGTGCTGTTATTTTCCCCATTTTCAATGTTAAAACAACACTTTTTAAGGATTTATAGATAGTTTCTGCATGAGAAATGCCTGAAATCATAAACTTTGAAGGCTGATTTCTCATATACTGTTCTTTAAACAGCTGTGTGATTAAATGCTTGTAACTTCATAAGGAAATGTCCGATTTGAATGATTTTTTTACCATTTTATAGCTATTATTTTACTCTCTAACACTGTATTAATAACTCAAAATCGATTTTGCGACGAGTGACTGGTTTGGCTTGTCTTTGCCACATTTATATTAATGTTAA